CTGAAATGACTATTCTGTCAAAATAGCTTCTGCTGTGCTTACCTCTTTTTGGTGACGGTACCAATGATGAAGGTATTTTCTAGACAGTGAATGTCAACAAGCAGTCTTTAAAATTTTGTCCTGGCATGTTCTGAGTGTAGAATTTGGCTAAGACCCAGATGCCTTATGGATCTGGGGAGATCAATGGATGGGTTGTATCTATCCATCTGAGCTAGCCAAATAGCAAGAATGTGAGATGCAAGCGTGTGCTTGTGTGTGGTTTCCCTGACATTACCCTTACCTCCTGTGACTTTGGTGACTACCTGGGTGGTTTTCACAAAAGCTGAAGCTGAGGCCGACTCAGTTCCCACCGGCCTGAGTTGCAGAGGGGTTTTTGGAGGCTCCCAGGGCAATATTTCCAGCCTTGAATTCAGATGCTCAGGTCCAAGTTTAGGCCACTTGATAAGTTTTAATGTAATTTAATGATAGTCTTTTGCCACACATATTTAGCATGTCAGGCTGACACCTCAGGACAGCAATGGTTTAGTGGTTTAAAGGCTGCAGTTGCATGTATTAGTGGCCTGTCAGTGTATTGTCTTGGCCAGGTAGGTAGTCAGCTGGCCCAAATTGAGGTAACCAGCAGCGATCACAGTAAGCTTGCATAGGTCAAGTAGCTTCTCTCTGAATTCACAGCAATATTATTGTTTACTGTTTGGGCTGTGACAGCACCTGGAAGCCAGAGGTGCCGGTGGTGCCAGGAGGAGGAGGAGGTGCCTTCCCCAAAGAACCTGCAGCCCCAGCTTCCCCACTGCAGTCAGAGGCAAGTGAAATGGATGGTTGTAGCTTTGTGAAAATGCCCCTAGCTTCACTGCTCCCCTGCCTTTGGTGGAGGTGCCTGAGACCAAACTCTAGCACCAGTGGAAAAACAATGACCTACATGAATTGCAGAGACCAGAACAGAAGATCTGAATTTGCTGAAATTAGGGAGAATCTCTTAAGTCCAGCCTATTTTTAGAAGATCCTCTATGGAGAAAACAAAGTCTAATTAAAAACAGACTTCATTGTTGCAGTAACCCACCATTTCACATGTAACCCTGGGAGTCTTCCACCTCTCCGGGTTTGTTAAATCTCATTGTTAACTCTCTGTGTCCTCCTTAACTTCAAAGCCATATTCTGAATACTACCTTTTCCACCAGATCTTACTATTTTTAAGGCACAAAGTCAACATTGCCCTTATTAGGAAGTTCTGCTCCTTAATACTTATTTTTAGAGAATGTCACTTAAAATAATTTAATGTCTCTTCCTTTGGTAACTGCAGGCTTGGTGTTTTTACATGCGCTAATCTCCACTTAATCTTGAAGAGCATGAGGGAAAAGATCTTTTCGCAGAACAGTATAGTTTGGAAATTGTGCTTTTTTAATTACCAGTTGTGAAGAAATGTGCTTTTCCACAAGTTGACTTGCATAGTTTTCAGTGGTATAACAGGTTCTGAGGAGAGATCTCTGTCACAGATAGCAATTTGAGCTTCCCTCATTAGGATGCAATTGCATATTGTATTTATAAGAGTCCCCTAAATGCATTGTCTTACAGTTACTCCCTTTGTGGCAAATGAAGTCTATTTTTTTTCTTTCTTTCTCTTTAATACCCTCTCTGCTTTGCAAGCTGTAAGTAATTTTCAGAAAGTCTCAGGACACAAGGCCAGTCTCTCAGCACGTTCCAGCTTCCTTTCTCTAATGTGCCACCTCTGTGGCATTTCAGCAAAGCACCCGATGGGAGCAGCAAGCAGTGGGCCAGAGGGCAGGGATCCTAATGATGAATCCTCACCAGTCAACAATTCCATACCATGTTTCGGTCTTCCACAGGCTGACACCATTAGTATCTCCTGTGTCATCACCCAAAAGTCAGCAGCAGCTGCATGCTGAGGATGTTCAAGGATCTGAACACAACACTTGGACATCCATCCCACGAGGGACCGTGATGGTAATGAAATGGATGGCAGCCCCCTGCGAGGGGCCCACCAAGGCTCCAAGGACACTTGTGTCCTTGCTTTGGAAGCTCGCAGGCAATTGTGGGATTAAAGAGAAGGTTTACAAGGTCTTTGGAGACTTGTTAAAATGCACAGCTCTCTGACCCTTCTCCTACAATGTGCTGCCCTAGGACTAGGCCAGGAGAAGAGCTGAGAACCGAGTAGAAGGCTAGCCTGGAGATGGGTAAGCCTGGCCGCTTGGCTTCCCGGTGTGACAGCAAGCAAGCGATGGAGGTGTTCTCCGTGCTAGGGCGGCAAGGACCTCTGCAGAGGTGGTGCGGGCAGGTGACTAAAGCCCTGCAGGCGCTGGGTGACTCAGGCGCCCCAGCCCCAGCCCTCCGCGGCCCTGCCTCGCCGGGGCTTGCGACGGGCGATGGCTGTGGGCAGGGGAGGCGCGCAGGGCAGCAGCGCCTACCGGCCTCCACATTTCTCGGCTGCCAGACCACATTCCTGGATGGCACTGTCTTGACGTGCCATCCTCGGGGTGCTCGCAGCCCTCGACCCTCTCACAACACACCGTGTGTGGGCCGGGGCCTGGTGGGCTGGGACGCAGGGCGAGTAGAGGTGGCGGTGAGAACCGGCACGAGCACGTGGTCGAGTGGCAAGAGGTTCCTCTTCCTCTCCATCTGGCTTGTTCGGGTGCAGCCAGACCTGTGAGACTGAACAAACCTCAAACCTGCTGACGGCAAATTGCAGATTGTCTGATTTCAGCCCTCTGCTAGGCAGGTCCCTTCAGCCTCGGTCAAAACCTCCTCGCTGGTGCAAGAGCTCCGTGTCCTTCCACTTCTACTCAGCAAACAGTCGGCAGCACCCCCTGGGCCCAGACATTTGTGTTCAATTACCTTGAATTTCATCACAGAAAGCAAATTTTGCCTGGCAGTTTCAGGCCGCAGCTTTGAAAGGGGCAAAACAAATGCCTCGGGTCACAGCCTGCTATATCTGATCAGCTCTCCAGATTTACGACCTTTTTTCCTGTTATGTGGTGTTGGCGTTGGGCATGTCCCTCGCTTTATTCTGCATCCAGCAGAAGGATCAGTGTAACAGGCTGCTGAGAACAACAGCGGTCGACACACCAAGCTGGGTATGTACTGCTCCTTGCAGGACACATCTTACAGGAAACGCAGATATTAATCAGACTGTGCAGTTTGAGGGGAAAAAAAAAAAGCTGTAAATTGCTGATCGAAGGAAAGTTGGAAACACAAGCTAGCAGGCGAAAAAGCTCTTGATGTCCTTGTGAGTTGACTGTCACCATTTCTCTGTAAAAACACACTATTACTTCCTCTGCTGCAACTTCTCACGCTGCTCAAGTTCCTCAGGGGAAGTGAAGAAAACCCAGCAGAGAAGCAGATCAGGAGGGGCATAGATGATGCGGTTGTGCAAATGGTACGACTTGGGGATTTGGGGCATAAAACAGCCATAACATTCGTGTATTTATCTGGGTTGCTATCAGTGCTAGCTATCAACAGATTTTCAGTAAAATCAGCTGTAAACATGACTATTAAGACCTCTTAAAACCCAGTGAACTAGTTAAAAAAGAAGCCTTCCAATAAGAAATAACGTGCCTTACAGTTGAATGCTAGTGCCTGTCAGTCAGTAGATGAAGCTTTTTACTGGGTTATAATCTTGCTTTCCCTCCAGCTAGAGCATGATGAAGAGATGGTTTATGGGAATCCTAGCAAAGAGGCGAGCTGAGGGAGGTAGCCAGTATCACACCGACCCAGCACCTGACATTCTCCTCTCCACCCTCTCTAAACTGTGGTTGTCAGCTGAGCCATACCTGACTAATGCATACCTGAGGGATGCTGGAGGTGATTTGCACAACAGGACTCAAATGGCCTTGCCTAGGTCACATTTCCGTAACTGGTTTTGTGCTTCGGTTTGCTGAGCAGCTCTCACTAAGCATAACACTTAACGTCACACTGCCGTGGCAGCAGGACTTCGGTGTGAAGCCTTCGGGCTTAGAAATCCCCACGGCTTCCCCATGTACTCAGATGTCTATGTTCCTGCATGAGAAAGGGCAGGCTTTAGTTAATCTTTCGATTGTTTAAGTCGCTGTTAAGGCCATTCCTCCCTATCACCCCAGCTGGGAGGGAAGCACGAGCATGAGGTGATGCTCAGACACTTGGTCAAGCCCTGTCCTGCCCCAGCCAGGCCTGAAGCAACATGCTGTTCTCCTGTGACAACTTCACTCAGCTCTTGCCACCCTGCTGCGGGCAGGAACATTAGATCAGGCTCGTTAGGCTTCATGGTCTCACTTTACCCCAACCATGGAAGACTGGTAGATTGACTTTCTTGGAGGTATTCCTCGCTCTGCTGTGCCCTCCATTCAGATGCTGGGACTGGGACTCGTGAAAAGAGCAGGCTGGTGGCAAGCAAGGGGGGGGGTGCAGGAAGGAAGACAAATAGGCTTGCAAGAACCTTCCTGTTTACCACATGGCTTAGAAAAAAAGAAAAAGAAAAAATGAGCAGAAAAGAAAAAGCAGAATACACACACCCTAGCTACATTATCTTCACTGGCATAGGGCTAGCTTGGCCTGGCAGCTTAAGGACTTGAGGCCAAATTTGCCCCTGCCACAAGCGTGTTTACTTTAGAGGAGTTTACTCGAGAGAGAAATCTGGCCCCTCAAGCCTGAATACTTGCACTGTGCTAGCGAGCGCGCATGGGAAGCCTGAGAACAATGCGCCGGGCCTCTGGCTCCCCGCCACACCGGGGAGGTCATTTTCTTCTCGGCAATTAGTGAAGTGGTGGCATCCCTAAAAGGAGTGAATAAACACATTCAGGCCTGCTCGGTCCCCGCTTTGCTCTGTTCTCACTGTGATTCCTTCTGGGTGTGCGGTGGGGCCCCAGCCAGAGCGAGCCCGGTCGCTGTGTGCAGCGCTTTCATTCAGGCCCGCTTGGCTGGGCAGTCGGAAGGGGCTTTTGGAAGAGAGAAGGGGGGAAATAACCCTTTAGTTTGCTTCTTTTACAACAAATGTCTGTTCTTTTTCTTTTCAGGGAGGGGAAAGATGCCAGCTTCTCTAAGAAAACTGCGGCAAATGGCTATTTTTATGGGAGTGTTCAGCGGTGGGGGATGTGTGGTGATGTATAATCTTATGCAAAGTAAGTCTCGGTGCTGTTAGCAACCTTATTTCTCCTCTGCCCCTTTCATTTGCTTTTGTGTGGCAGGGAAAATAGCAGTGTGTAAGGTCTGAAAAGCACATGAAGTTAAGGGAAGTGTGGCTGAAACTGCTGGGTTCTGCCTCTGCTTTATTTAATCCCCGGGCTGATTCCCTCTCTAACACGCTGCTGCACCCATTTCCAAAGGTGGGTATTACACCAAGGGCAGACTGCTGCGGTCACTAGAAATGCTGGGAGGTTTCTTGGGAGCTAAGGTGAAACGAAAGCCGAGGCAGTCATGTACATTTCATCCCTTATTGAGATTTTACAACTGGGCAAGAAAGAGAGAGCCACTTAAAGGAGGGTCTGTGAGAACGTATTCAAGTCTAGCAGTTTTTATCAGTAAATCTTTGTGGTGCTGGCCCGTAAACACAACAGCCTCTGATGTGCTGAAGATTGTATTAATTTCTCCTGAAGACTATGACCTTAAGTGCGATCAACATTAAGAAGAGAAAGGAGAGAAAAGCTAGGCAGGTAACATTGCTGTTCACAGACAGACCTAATAGCCACATGTCTTTGGCTGAGAATTCAAAGTGTTAGCTCTAGCAATATAATTCTTTTTAAAATTATTTCTAGATATTTAGCATCAGAAAAGAAATAGGGTCAAGAAGTCGGTAGGACCCCCAGATAGTCAAATCCTATCTCTCACTTGCTGGTACTACCACATGATACTGCTTTTACCTACCCTTATATCAGAGGATGCTGCCAGAAAAGTGTAGCTGAGCCTGTTCCTCAAGCCCTGAGATAAGTTGTGAAACCTCCCCTTCATTTTACACGTATTAATAACAAATCAGACAAGGCTGGAAAGCAGGCTTTAATTTTAGTCAGCTCGTGCCCTCGAGCTCAGGAGTATATGACAGATATATGATCCTCTTATGCTTTAAAATATTGAATCTGGCTTTAACAAGGACATTAGCATTTTTTAATTTTCAGCTTCGGCATTGCTATCTGGAAATCTCTGAAAAAAAAAAAACTTCTCCCCTGTGCTGCTGAAAGTAAAGCAGCTCCTTGCCTGCATCGCTGAGCCACGTAATCAGATGGCTCAGCACGGTGGCTATCTCTCGCTTTGCTGCAGAACCGATGGCCCCTGAGCACGTCCCTGATTACACAGTGACAGGCCAACTGGGCTGCCAAAAGAAAGCTTTCTACTGATGGCTATGTCGCTCTGTAGCCTCCAAAAGACAGAGAGGCCAAGCTGGGAACTGTCCCCCCCTTTGCCCACACTCAGGGCCATCCCAGTTCCTTCTGTCCAGTGTACTGAACTGGCTCAGAGGGAGCAAACAGTTTCCATAATGGTGGGAGCGGGGGGAAGAGGGGTGCTTCCCTCCCCTTCCTTCAGGCTGAAATAGTTTGCATGCACGTGTTCTCTTTGAAAGCTTGTACAAACATTCAGGTAATCATATTTCTACTCTCCGTCTTCGCCTCCACTCCCTCCCTTACGGGAGCAGTCTCCCTGGCCAACCCCAGTGTGCTCTCAGCTTTCCTACTGCAAGCAGGCTGACAGACAGATCGCTGGGCCTCTTGCATTTGCTACTCAAGGTGAGATGCTGCTGGAATGCCTGAGCTGGGGCACTGGGAAACTCAAGCCATTTTCCCTTCCAACCTGAAGGCTAAGTACAACATACTTTTAACACGGTCTGGGTGGCTGCTTGCCACTGTCAGTAGGCACTAAAGGGTCAGCATGCTGGGGCCCCTTTTGCTCCTGAGGATGGCCCAGGAGGACAAGAGGGCCTGGCCAACGCAGGCTGCAGGCCAGCAAAGCTCTTTCTGTGCCAACAACTAGATGCTGTCTGCTTGCAGGGGATGCCTCTAGCTAGGGAGAGTAGGCAGCATCCCTCAGCCTCATGCTCTGAGAGTAATACCAACAGGCAGAAGACCAGGAAACAACCATACACCTTATTTTAAGCTCTTTGGAAGACAAGAACAAAGTTACCAGAGTAGGATTTTAATTCGTGCACACCCTTAGCTTGACACTGCCCTTCTTGATGTCAGCAGAAGGGAGTTAGGCTGGCATGAAGCATGTCTAGAAATCTCATCTGGCAAGCCGTAAGATGTTTTTAGCCAAATCTCCACCTCCATAGGAAGGTCGGCACATTTCCAGCCTCGCAGTTCTGCGTTGTGCAGTGGTCACCAGTGGACAGCATTTCCTAGCTGTGCAGAGCAGCCAGGCACTGATAAATAGCAATTTACCACAATTGTCCTCCATACGCCAGCACTGCGGCATCCAGTCTGCCGTGCTATTGTTGCTGGTTGACCATTAAATTTAATGGCACTTCCTTGTGCCTCCGTTTTAATATACCCTTCAGGAGAGTCGCAGCTTCACGGCTGCCACTTGAAAAGCTGTATCAAAACCACAGCAAGGGCTTCACAGCAGCAGCAGCAGCTGTTGCTGTCCCACATCAGTGTCTGTGGAATAAATATTCTCTATTCTTATTTTCTGTATCTCCTCTAAGAAGATTGAGTCACGTTCAGAACATTTGCAAATATTCATCCTTATGCCTCTTTGCCTTCTTTTTTACCCCCTCTTTTACAAAATATACGACAGACAGGGACACTCAGTCATAAGCCGAACTGTACATCAGTATGGAACAGGCTATCTGCAGATATTCAGAGCCCTTTTCACTTAAATGTACTGGGTAGAATTGCAGTCCAACACTGCTTCTTTGATACAAGGGCTCGTTTCCTCCTTTAGCCAGATTTATCCTACTAAGTAGTTTTGAACTGTGTTTCAGGGAGAGTGTGGGGGTCTGGAGGAAGTATCTTTAAAAAAAAACAAAAAACAACACAAAACCAAATCGTATCTTTAGATTTTAAGTAGACAGTCTGCTCATTATCCTGTTTCTCTCATCTAGAAGGCTTTGCCAGGACCCAGTATTATCAGCAGGGTTTGGAGCAACTCAACAACAATCCCACTGCCCTGGAAGCCCTGGGTGCTCCCCCTCTAAAGGTTCACAACATCCGACTGACAGATGGGAGTAACCGCGTGGACACAGAAAGAGCTCAGGTAACGCTGGGGAGATTGTGTCACAGCTTCCTGGGGTGTCAGCACAGGTGAAAAGAGATCAGCACTGGGGTTTTCGGCAGGTCACAAGTGACCTGGGAGCAGAAGTCCCATGGCGAGGCAGTAGGATGGGGTGCCAGTTGATTTGGAGAAGCAACAGATTTCCAGGCATAAGTCTGTTGCTCTAACAAGAACTAGAAACAGCAAGAACAGCATCTGCATTTTGTGCTGTATGGGCACATCACAGAATGATAGAGGGCCTTCCAAGTTAGTGAATCCCCCTCCTACTGCAAGCCACAAAACAATTTTCAGAAACATATTAAGCTCCAGCTTTAAACTAGCTGTTGCCTCCCTTCCCCCCAGGTATGTTCCGTGCTGGTTTTTAAAGCTTTGTTCAGGAGAGGGTTTTACAGCCACGCACGAGGTGTGCTGCGGAGCTGCAGCACAAACGGCGTGTTTTCTAAAGCACCAGTAAGGCTGTGCCATGGAGGAGGACTGCCTGGCACGGGGCTGAGCGCTCACATTATTACATAGTCGCCAGAGAATGCTGCGCTGGGCGCTGGATGTTGCACAAGGCTGACTTGCATCACCCCAGGGTTGGGCTGAGGCAAACCTCACAAATACAAGTCAACTTCCTCTCTGGGCCTGGCCGTCTGAAAAGGGCTTCGCATTCTGTGTTTTTACCCAGAGACTTCACGTCCTTAAGAACAGGACTGGCTGTTCTTCCTTGTTTTTGCTAATGACCCAGGACATCCTTAGAGAGCTCTTCAGGCAACTTGCTGAGAGATTGTGTCACTTTTGAATCATTTTGTTCCTTATGATTCTTCTATTTTTGAGTCCTAGGGACGAAATAAGGACAGTAAAGAATGTGCCAGATATTGCAGGTGAAGGAGGAGACTGTCGGGGTTAGAAAACCGACCTTTAACCAACTCACATGAAATTGCACTTCCCATCTGACTCCAGCCAGGTTTCACCTACGTAATACCCTAGGTCAAAATGTTACCCAGGTTTTAGAGGTTTTACCAGAAACCTTATCTTAGACCAAAAATATGGGAAAAATGCACAACCCCTTGTGCTGATTGAAGAAAAAGAAGAGAACTTTTCCCACTCATATTTTCCTGTGTCACCCTTTGAGAATGATAGTCGCTTGAGTGACTCAGGGTGAAATCAAAACCCTGCCTTCTGCCAGACCTCACCCCAGACATAAACCACCAACTTTCCTTTCCACTTTTTCATGCTCTCAGTCACAGTAAACATTCGTGTTTTCATGAAATAAACTAGTTAATCATCATAGAGAGATTTACTGACTCCACAACATTCCTACCTCCTACCTACTGGTCCCGTTTGAGAACTCGGGGCATTTTCCATTTGTGGCTCCAGTACAACCAGCAAGCAAGCACTACACCTGAAACATTGCTTTTATTCAAATATTAGACTGAGTGCAGTTAGCTAAGACCTGCAACACTGAGCACAGCTTTGTTTATTAACTACCCTGAACAGTAGAATTTGTGGCACCAACAAAATAATTGAATGTCTTATTACCTGGATGCATCTTAATGGGCTGACTGATGTGTAGATAGTCAATCTACCGGCTCGTTATGGTTATGGGAAGCTCGAGCATAATGCAGGTCACCTCTGGATCACCATGCATTCTGGTGAGGAAAGGTGTTTGCTCATAAATATTTCAGAGAGCGAGTGGTTTTCCCTGGGGGCTGCAGCTGTAACACAGTACATTCTTTCAGCAGAGATTAATGTATGGCAGAACAGGCGTACTTGTATAGCCACGTACACGTTAGCCATTAGAGGAGCTTAGTGAAACTTTTGAAATGCGTTTAAAAAACAAAATGAGAGTTTAAGTTAAAAGGAGGCAGGTTGCTGCTTTGACTGTAAAAGGAGTAAATTTCCATTTCAGGAACACGCTTCAATGAATCTCTAACATACTTTTACATCTGCAGATAAAGTTACCTGTATCTGGAACAAAATCAGCGGGGTACCTCTACATTGACTCAGAAATGGACCACTCCCGTCAATGGTGCGTACTGGGGGAAGTACTGGGAGAAACACAGAGATGCAGGGACAGAAGTGGTAGGAGAAAACAGTGGAGCAGGATAATTGGTTTAGTCATTTGGTTGCTGAGATCATGCATGCAAAGAAAGAGGAAATTCATGTCTGAGGATCTTGTGAAAGGTTGTTACCATCATTATGACAAAAATGTAAATTAGTTGAGAAACAGACTGAATACATCCCCATGAATACAAGTGTAAGAACAACATGAGCCATTCATTTGGGTGAAATGTCTTCTACAAATCATAACTCAGTATACAGATAGATACTGTGAGCCAAGGGAGCATCTTGTTCCCTCTCACCCCTCTTCTCCAAGGAGATGTTGAGGCCACTTGAGTGCTGGGTCCAACTTCAGTATTAGGCATTGCACTAGGGGAGTTATCTTGCATGTTATATCAGAGCATATCAAGGTAATCTAAAAATCAGGCATTTTTTATTTCAAATTATATAATAAATATGGTCCTTATAGTTAAAAAGAAGTGCTAGAACAGATATGTTGCAGTAGAAACATGCTCTGACTCCGCATCACATAGCAATATTACATCTTTGTAGTACTGAAGCCTGAAAGTCTCCCTTTTCAAGGTGAAACGCTTCTAGAACTGAGCATTACTACAGGAATTCAAAGTCCATCTTCCACTGCAAAAGAGGAAATTTTATTAGATGAAAATCTCCTCACATGCATTTATTCTTCGAGTTTGTTAGACACTTCTGATAGCTGTATTTAGAAACCCAGAGCTGCAACGTTTTTGCTCAGTTCCTACCAGCCATATGGTATTGTTGTCATTTCATAATTAGATAACCACAACTTACTGGATTTCTGCTCAGAATAACTACGGGAAGCAAGGTTTAAAAGCATGGGAGGAAGGCACTATATTGAGACTTCAGAGATTCAGGGCCAGACCTGGCCTCCTTCCTAGCTGCCAAAGATACCCCCAGAGGTCCTCGGGCATCTTTTGTGCCCACCTGTGCTTTTCTGGGGATCTGCACCCTGACACGCTTGCTCCTCACTATCCCCTCCTCACAGATGGAGGGAAATAGCAGTTTCTCCCTCTTTCACAGAGCTAATGTGAGGACAATTAAAGATTTAAAGATGTGAAAATACAGTAGTAAGCAAAATGCATACGTATCTATCAGGGTTTTATTTTAAAGCGAGCTCTTTGCACATTTCCACCTGCAAGTTGAAAAAAAAAAAAAGAAAATAATGCATTTTCTGGCAAAATGATTTGTGGCAGACAAACCTGTCAAACTCAACTGCCACAGCATACGCATGGGGCCTACACACGGATCCGCTTGGGGCTTGACAGCACGCTGCATCCTTGCACCTGCCTGGGAACTAAAAGCAAAATCATTTGTTCTTGTCTGCTCCACGAAGAAGAGTTCCTGAAATCACTGGGAGGAATAGCAAATGTCTAAGTGGGCCATGCTGCTGTGGTCCTGTACAGCAGGCACACAGACCCAAGAGGCAATGTTAAATGGCGTGAAATGACACTGGGAGGTGAGCTCCAGAAGCACTTAAATGCTTCAGACTATGAGTGGACAGTCTGTCCGTCAGGTTTTTTTTTTTTTTTTTTTTTTTTTTTAAATAGCTAAATAAAAGAAAAATGAGCTGGTTTGAACCTGGATAAAGGAGTGTTTGCTGGTAGGCAGGCAGTGCAGGGACGGGGAGGGTGCAGAGCTCCCTGCCCAGAGGCGACGGAGGCCCAGGGGCTGGTGGACAGACCGCAGGCGAGGCACCGGTCCTGCCAAGAGCCACTTGCAGACTTCTGCCCTGAGGTGAGCAGAGAAGATCCGAGACCCCAGGCTATGCCGAGGGGAGCAGCTTCTGCAAGCCCTGCACTTGCTGACCGTCGGCAAGTGAGGTGGTTATTCTCAGTGGGTCAGATCGAGCCAGAGGGCTGGCAAGCAAAGAGCCTTGCTGTAGATTCATCGCAAAGAGGTGCAGCAGTCTAATTACCTAATTGTGTGTACTCAGCACTGACTCCAGTAAGAGCAGAGCTGGGTGCCTGCCAGGAGCTTTAAAAATCCTATCATAGTGTGCTGGAATAATGGTCCTTCCCAGCTGGAAAACCGGCACGAGCAGGCTCACAGAAGTGGTTTTGGAGCAGAGCTTTGAGGAAGCAAAAGGCTCCCCCTCTGCATCCAACAAACGCAGTTTTTCTTCTCCTTTGAGTAACCACTGTCGTACCCTGTCAGTTTTTCAGCAGTCACACTGAGCGATCGCACAGTGTTCAAACTCTCCCAAGCTAGGATAATTCCTTAGCAACACAGCCCGGCTCCAAGGCTGGAGAGGAGTGAGGCAAGGAATGCACCGACAGGATGAAGGGGAAGAAAGGCGCGGGGTCGGCAGGGAGAGGGGAGTGACCTAGCTAAAAATAGCTGCCAGGATTTTATTCAGGTTGCAACAAACAGGAGCACGTATCCCAGAGCTTTAACTCTGGGCTGTGCTACTCCATTAGGGAAAATAGCTTTCAGAACTGGCACTTGCAAATAAAGCTTTACAATAATTAGGTGATTTTTTTTTTTTTTTTTAAGAGGAATGAATGCATGGAATGATTTGTTTCTCCATGCCAGCTGTTTTTACACCAATATTACTGCTAGATTAAAAGTGATTAAAGCCAGTTAAAAGCTCTTTTGGTTTGTGTCAGCTGGCGCCTTCAGGATGTCACCTTGAAGCTCCGGGATGGGCAGAATATTTCAGTCTACCATTCCCCTGTGAAAAGCATCAGTGTGCAAGGAGGCTAATGGTCCAAGGCAGCTGCTTCTCCACCTCCTACTGAACCGAAGGAGACATTAATTGATTGCATCACGCTGTGCACATGGATGCACGCCGGTGTTGCAGAGGACGATGTCCCCAAAGTGGATGCTCTGAAGACAGTTTCATCTCCAGCACTGACCTGTGTCATTATTGTCATGTTTGTATGTTCAGCAAAAGCCTCAAATAAAGATATTGCAGCAAGAGTTGCTCTTCCAAAGGCCGTGTGTTGTGTCCTGTGTATGCTGGTATTATGAATTTGAAGGAAACAAATTGCCAGGAAATTGGGCTTTTCTTACAATTACAGACCTAAATCTGGACATTGGGGTTGCTCTTTCATGGCTAGAGGACTTGGTCAGCTTCTCAAAGCAATTCCCTCACTGCTTCTGCTTTCCCTGTTTCTCAGCAAGGTGTTACCTAAAGCAGAAGGGAGGAGCAGCCAAGGTGAAGCTCGGGCAGCATCCCCCTCCACTGCTAACGAACCAGTCCCATATCAGGCAGATTTGCACCATCAATTGTCATTAAAAAGCTCATGAGATAATAAAGGCCACCGACCATAAGCTCAGCATTCCAGGAAGAGGCTCACTGCACGACCTGCTGATGCTGAAGATTACTCAGAACAAGCCACTGTTTCATATCAGCACTGCCAAAGACAAGCTGGGGAGAGCACATTAGCTCTCCCAGTTCCATTTAGGGAGGAAAACACTCAGGAGGTGCAAAACAGGTAAAATACTGCCATGGTACAGCCAGATGACAAGAGATTTTGCCACTTGATTTTGCCACTGCAGCAGCCCAGCCAACAGAAGTAAAGAACTGCCCAACACCAGAAGCAAGTTAGGGAATATGCAAAAACAAAACAAACCAAACAAAAACACACTGCTCATTCTGCTGCCTTGCAAAGGCTAAGGCACAGGCTGAGAAGGTGAAGAGACACAAGTAATTGGCCTGCTTTAATTCCTTGAAGTAGCATGCAAGCCACTGAAAATATCCAGAGAAAGTGTTTTTCACTACTGTAACAGAGCAGCTTAATCAAGATGCAGCTGGTGAAAACCTAGAGCTAACACCACTCAATTCCTTTTTTTTTTCTTTTTTCCATTTTTTTTCACCTCTCTATCCTAACGTTCAATTTTTACTGCTAGTAATGATTATTAGCGAAGGGAGAGCTATAAGAAATGATCATTAAAAGACCAGAAAGCGCCATCCTGCTCAGCAGCGATCCAGCAAACACGACAGTGTGGCTTTCGAAGAAGTCTGAAGAGCAAATACCAAAGCAAATGGAGGGCTGGACTAAAGTTCGTCAGCAAAACATCCCTGTGATGAACCACTGTAGAAGGAAAAAACACACAGGATCTAGTTTAGGGGTTACAAGCGGCTGCCCAGGACGAACACCACCTGCGAGACTTGATCCAGCCTGTAGGGATGCCCAGCACACCTGGGAAAGGATTAGGATGCATCAAGGAGAGACAGCATGTCCCAGCTTCAAGATGAAATCACTGCCATATGCTTTCACAAAACAAAACAAACAAAACACACAGCACATGATTTAGAAATGTTTGCTCTGCACTGCTTCAGCCCACGCAGCAAGAAATCCACCCGGAGATCTCCTGCCACCTCGGAGGTTGGGCAACTCTGGCTTTTGGTCAACTGCTAAAGACCAGTGGGGCTTTACACATGCCAGGACCTGGTACGTGCTGCTGTTCGCCTTCTCTTTGTCCCTTCAGGGAAATGGAGTTTTTGTACAAATTGTGCCTCTCATGTTCCCCCTAGAGACCTAGGGCTGCCCTTTGAGCTGCAGGCACTCCTAACCAATCCATCCTGGCCATCCCAACCAAACCATGGGTTCATCAATGCCACAGAGACACACAGTATCATCGTGTTTTGCCATTTTTTTCCTCCAATTCCAGTCTTTAAGCCTTGAGAAGGAAGAAATGGGTGGGTGGGGTTGGAAGCCAACAGATGAGGGGAGTGGGACAAGAGGAAAGTCACACTAAAACCCCTGCACTTGTTTTAAGACCTATCGTCTGCAAACACTGAATTTCTTACCTCCTGACCTTGAAGAGCCTCAGAAGCCACTTCCTCTCGGTGTTTCAGCTGTTTTAGGCTGCACGTATTCAAAGGGAGCACAAAGCAGCCGGCTGGTGTGCTGAGGAGCTGCTTCAGCCATGTGGCTCCCATTAAGCGCGCCGCAGCCCACGGCTGCTGCTCGCAGAGAGGACGCAGGTGCAGCAGGGGCAGCCAAGAGGCTTTGCAGCACGCCAGGAAAAGGAGGAGAGCAAAGGTCTCAAAACCACTAGCAGCTGCTGAAAGCCCAAATAACTTCAGGAGGGCTCCTAAGCACCCCTTGTCTCCTCACAGTCTTTTCCACCAAGGAACAAGGGAGCAGATTGGGTTGCATTTAACTTTTTCATCAGGTCATTGGAACTCTAATTCATTGTAATTATGTCAGTGTTGTATGCCACTAGACACCGATCTGGACAATCATTTCATTTTTATTGAGAAAACATTCATCTTTTGTTAAAAGACACCCCAAAAAAAGTTATGTTCTATTTAGGAGGCCCTTCTTTTCTTACCAGGAGGGTAAGAAAAGGTGAGCAGGGGCCTCTGGGGGCCGCCCAGTCCCCCCGCCTCACCCACAGCAGGGACAAATAGAGCACCTGCCACCTGCCAGGTTTCGAACATCTCCAGGGAGGAAGACTCCACTCCACACATATTTTGTCCTGGCTCCACTCTTCCTCCACAGGTGTTTGTGTGCATCGGTAGGATTTCTGCTCCCCCTGCCCCGAAGCCATCCCTTCTCCATGCTGACAATCTAAGGTGCCCCAGCCTCATGGCAGGTGCCGCAGTCCTTTAATCACCATAGCCATTTGAAGTACAGTTAAATGATTTCTCTTAAATTGACTTGAAAATGTCCACAGTTCCTTTTCCAGTTGTTTGTGTTGCTAAACCATCCATCATCACCACGGCCGCTGTTGGATTACATTTGCTCCTTACTCTCTAGGTTGATTTTAACAGCTCCTTCCAGGCGGTCATCACCCCGAAGGAACTACCAGGAAGGCAAGCTGCTCAGGGCAAGGACCTAATTTACGGCTAACGAACAATAACCAAGTATTGTTTAGCAGAGCTACAGCACTTGCACCTAATAGGAATTAGGCCTGATTAGTGCAAACGGGCTGCGTTAAACCAGACGGTTTAAAAGCAGTAGCTTCTCCCAGACTAAGTGGGCTGACGGGTGCCTTTTTGGGCATACCTCTCTGGGTAGTCACAGTTTTGGCCAGCTCATGGGCCTGTCAGCTCACTCTCCAGCTTGGGCAGGTACCTTGTGCTGCACGGGGCACAAGAGTCATTTTGATTCATGTCTCATTTAGAAAGAAGAGTGCATCCAATTATTTCCCATTCACCTGCATCTTAACCGCTTTGTTGAAGCAAGAAGCCTTTTCCTATGTGTTTTCTGCTAAACCTGCCACAAAGCTCCCTGCAGCAGGGCCCAAGCAATCCCATAATACTGGTGGTGGCAGAGACCTGTCGCATTCTTGGCATTACTTTGGAAAGCACACCACACCTGCCTAAACACCTCTGGTAACTTCGTATGTTATTTTACCAAATAAATAAAACGCTAGAGTCTTGTCATTTCTAAAGGGATCTAATCCTGCTTCCATTAACTGGCCTTACAAGGGGGTTCAGAAGCAAGCACCTTTGTTAAATAGCTTCTGAGAGACAGCCGGTGCCTCTCCTTGCTTGTTGAAGCCCATGACGAGGCCTTCCACCCAACATCAGGGCAGCGGGATCTCACTGGGTACTGCTGGAGGGTGGCAATCAGCACGGCGATACCCCAGCGGCTCAGGAGATTTCCCTGTAAGGAGTAGCCAAAAGGCACCTGCGCAATTCAGCCTGCACACTGAGATTACAAATTAACTTAGGGGCTGGGATGCTCAGACCTCAATAAACAGCCAAAGAATCAATGCTGTTCAGTTCTCTGCATTCACAGGAACAAGATAATCCCTTTTAGTAGCCAAATTCCTCCACCTTCCCTAGTTTTACTGGAAGTGTTGTGGGCCTGATGCTGTGTTTCACTGTGAAAAATCCTCACCTATTCTTAATTAAGAGAGATTTTATCACACACACCTGGATTTATTTCTTTTTCTTGTTTTATAGAAGTTTCAGGTTGTATTTTTATGGAAACAAATTATTTCACTATTACAGAGCTATACAGTTGTCCTGTAACAGGAACGATTAATGAAACGCAGTAGTGCAAGAAGAGGAAATATTTTTCTCCCCCAGCACCTAGCTCTGGCTCTCCACGCAGGCAGTCATGCCAGACAAGTGGCCTGCTTGTGGACACAGCGCAGTACGGAGGGGATGCCAGAGGGTCACCACTCCAGGACACCTTTCAGCAGGACTTCTTAAACATGGATTAATGCTGATTTGCATCTGCTCCACCCTGTTCTGGACACGCAGCCATCCCGCGTCTCACACCATTCGCTGCCATTTAACTTCCACCTCTCTAACCCTGCATCTTCAGCCAGGTCATTTCCTACCGGTCAGGCCCCTGAAAGAACAGTCCTAAATTTAATGGCAATATATTTCTATGTTTAGCATACATGAAGAAAAAAATACGAGAGGATTTCGGTGGATAATGTGACTATATTTATTAATCCCAAGGACAGTTTAATTCAACATCTGTAAATGATGCATCATGGAGACGTCTACAATGCAAACATATTCCTTTATACTGGAAAAGATTACTGGTGACCTTTGTGCACCAAATATAAATTGAACAAGTACTTAATATACAGAAAACTAAGATATCAGTAACCGTGCTATGTGGGCATTGAGAAAAACAAACGTACAGCAGGTCTTAGAGAACAGCCAGGGTACTGGGACAGGAGACTCCAAACAGTGAACACTGACCCAGTCCCAGCAGCGCATTTCTAGCTCTCAGGCGAAGCCAAGCGCGAAGGCACGGAGGCACCAAGCAAAGGGGCTGGAGCTGCAGCTCCTTGTCATGCCGCACTGCGCCCTGACATCGAGCCCGGCGACCATGCAGCTGCTGTGAGGCAGAGAAATTGGCATAACTTAATCCCATTTGAAATTAGTAGATGTTGACTTCAAGATTTATTTTTTTTTAAATAAATTTATTATGTTTTGAAGTGTTTTCACAATGCATGAGGAACAAAAGCCAGTTAAAAAGAAAAAAAAGGCAAAGTCTCACTGTAAAGCTTCTGTACCTTGGCAGAAGTACAACAACCTGACACTACTTCCTTAAACACTGGAACTGTCTTTCACGAACTGCTCCTGGGCTATCTTATGAGAGACCCCGAGCCATGTCATTGAGTGGTGCAAGGCCCCTCTTCCCCGTCCCCCCAGCAGGGGATGGGTGTTAGTTAGAAATGTAAACACTGAACAGCCACCGAGATGCGTGTGGCAGCTTGGCAGCTGGATTGTAACACTGGGATCCTCAACCAAAAAATGCAAAAAATGAAACAAATGACAACACAAATGTTGCTTTGGACCAAAAAAAAAAAATACTATTTGTTACAGAGTTTTAGTTTAGTGACATCTATAGCCTCTCGCCTAGAGGTGAACATAGCAAGGAGACTGAAGGCAAAGCTTTGCTTCCATCAGCTGCTTGGCGTTTATTTTAGCTGCAATGCTGGCAGAGGCCTTGCGCCTCGCAGCCCCACCCTGGCACACGTGGCTGTGGTTGGTGCCTCCTGCACCAAGCCCCCAGAAGCTGCGGTGTCCAGCACTGTCCAAGCACACCCGAGCTGCCTTCCACCTTCCCGCGTTGGAGCAGGTGGCGGCTGTGCTCCAAGGGCAGCCAGCGGGTGCCTGGGCCTAGCCAGCTGAAGGCCTGCGGAGCGGGCCCCACAAGCAACGAGGGCTGAGAAGCCGATACCTGCCCCGCCACCACCCCCTTCCCCACCAGTTCTTACAGCATAAGCAGCTTTTTTTCCCCAAACTGTCTGTGCAGCCAGCCACACTCTAGGAGCTGCAGAGAATCGGCCCTTCACGAGCTTGGGGCTTGTTCCCAGCCCGAACGCTGGCAGCTTGGCCTCAACAGCCCCTTCCTCAAGTGTAGGGAAAAAGTGCCTCACCGACAGCTTTACCCACGCTTAATGGCACAGAAATTGCTTAAAACATGTGGGAGTGGTGGACAGTCTGCAGTTACACCTCACAGAAACTTTCCTATTACAGGGCCCACCTCAGGCGCCATGTTTATAACTTAACACTGTTGAACTTCCACAGCTTTACGCACATTCCTAACGATGCCAATAACACCGCACAGCTGCATGTTAAGGCACAAAAAGCTGAACAAAAACAGCCCCCTGGAAATCTCGGAGCAGCCAGCTCAGCAGCAGCTGGCCCTGGGGTAGGCCCACAGCTCGCCTCCACGCCCTGCTCCATTGCCACTAACGGTGGCTGCAGGAGAGAAAGGCAAGCAAGGGTCAGAGTTGCGCTGGCTGATGAATAGCAAGAGGTATCACCCCCCAGACCACTTACTAAGCAGTGGATTAAACGAAGAGTGCTGTCTTGCTTAAAGCATCTGAAAGATCAGCAGTGGAGGTAGGGCAGGGGCTGCAGGCACGCAGCGCCGCAGCTACCATTTGCCTCCAGAAACGCCTAGGTAACACAAGTGCTCTGTTAGCTCAGAGCCTTGTTTGGCTTCTACAAGTCACCAGCCACAGATATCAAAGAAAATGTGCATAGCAGTGAGAAGCTATCTACAGGAGGTAAAAAAAAAACAAAAACAAACAAACAGGAAATGTCTAATTTTTCCAAAGTATGTAAGTAAGGCATCTCTGCTTTGCAATATAAATTACATCCGAGCTCAATTCTTGAAGGACTATTGGATGCTTTCTTAAAGGTCTTTGAGGAGCAAGGTGTTGCCCTACCTACATGAACATTCAGCGTGTAACTCCATAAGGGAAGAAGCCCGATAGATTAACTTAGGCACTGCTTTTCTGATGTGGCTACGAGCAAAGGCAACCAGACCACTGGTGTTAGGGAAAAATTCACGTTGCCACACTCAGTTTTTTTGTTCAGATTTCTTCTTTACTAGTGCTTTTCCTCCCACCCTTACAGCAACACTAATCAGATCCCCACAGCACTGTTTTTGTTATTAATACTGTTTACCTTTTGTGTGAAGGAGCTGTAACACTAGCACAGAAAATCCTGTTCGCTAGGAAGAGAACATTCCCAGTACATTTGAAATGAAAAGGTCTGTGGCAACACAGAAGGAACAAAAGGGAAAACTAGCTTCAGAGTTTCTGTTCATTATTTTATAGCAAGAAAACTTTTGTCATGGTTTATTATAAAGGAACAGCATAGGAAACCAAATAAATAGTTGAATAGTTAACAGTACGCAATATAATAGTACTAAACTTCAATTACATAAAAATTAAACTTTGGAACAGCAACGATATTAAAGACTTCTTAGAAAACTAGGACTCAGTCCAAGACCCTCAGACTTGTGCATTGCAAAACCCTGTCAACTCTGATGCCTGGTTGGTCCCAGCTTTACCCTCCGAGGGACCGTGTCCACTGAGAACTCTGCCCCATCCACGCAGCTCCCTAATCCCACTCTGCCCCATCATACACATGCAGTTTTTCCAAGCGTCTAAGGAGAGCGATTGGGAAGCATGAGGTATGAGTTGTGCTTCATTGTTTCAGTTCAGGAAGAAGATTCTGCTTCCTCTCATAGTTACACTGAGCAAGGTTTGCAATTTAGCCTAAGGATGCTTCTTTCTTCCTTAAAGCAGCTGTTAAAGGAACAGAAAGAAGGCAGCAATGACCTCATGCTCCCAGCAAAACCCAAGCTGAGTTCCGGGGGTGGGGGGGGGGAAATCAAGGGCTGATTTATCCTAAGTCTGATAACTGTCTGATCTAACACGTTGAAGTCAGTGGAGAGAAATTCAGTAACTCCAGCAGAGCTCCAGCAGACCCTGTGTCACTTTTTTTGCCCACGCATCAACACTATGCAGACACACTGAGCTGTGCTGTTAGTGCATCCAGCTCAATACAGGAGGGAAAGGGAAGAGTCTCTGCTGGTTCTCGAGACTGACTTGCTAGTTCATTTATCACTCTCCAGAGCAGGATTTTACTGTGCTCTCCCAAATAAATAAAATCATCACCACTCTATCTGGAATTGTTCACTGATAAAATTTCTTTACCTGTGGGACATATGCATCTCTTGCTAGGGGAACCCAGCTCACTGTCTGGCTATACACCAAATAAGTCTGAGTCTTTGGACTTGATGAAAACAAAGAAATATACACAGAGCGTAGCTTTGAAATCTGTATGTCAAACCAGTCAGATTCTCTCGTACACTTTAAGATCAGCAGATAGCTCCACTGAAGTCAGGAGTGCCAAAAGGTGTTTGAGGAAAACCCAGCATTATGAATTTACTTTGAATGACAAAACGTCTCCTAAAATATACTCCTCTTGACATCTGTCACTGAAACACCTGCTATGTCAACTTCGCCAGAACATTAGAACAATTAACAAAATTGTCTGCTACTCAGAGACAAAAAAAAAGGAAATAAAAAATGCAAACAAAAATAAGCTTTTATCTTCATTAAATTCATGTCAGCCACTTGAAATCTTGTTTAATCTGTTCCATGAAATTAAAAACTTGGCACATTTTCCTTAGATGCCACCTATCAACATTTCGTTTATCTAGAACATTTACTGCGTATCAGAGATTCCCTTGGCTAAGATATTTTTGTTTAGCAGAAAGCACTTCCTTCCAGTTATAGCTATGAAGCGCCACACAGTTCAGTAAATGAATTCTCCTGGTATTTCTTGCAGCAATGGTTCCTCAAATTTAAATCGTTTGGAAATGGCTTTCTGCTCAGTTGCTTTTTCTTTTTCTGACTGCCTACATTGTCCCAGTGTATACGAAGCCACTACAATTAGTTCTTCCGTCACTATTGATTCATCCTCCTCGGTTTTCTCAGCATCAACAGATTTTTCAGAGGCAGAATCTGCATCTTGCTGGGTGACGTCGCTGCTCTCCCCTCCTGCACTCTCATTCCAGGCCCTGGAAATAGGTTCATCACTTTGTTCTAGCCATGGATGTTGAAGACATTCCTCAGCAGTTGCCCGGTCCCTGCAGAGGAAGGAAAGCGTTAAAAGGAATGTCCAAGGGAACTTGAAACCTAATGCCTCATGTAAGAGATTCATGCAATTTTTCTCCAAGGATATGACTGTACTAACCCGACAGAACTACTAATTTAAGTGTGTCAGTGGTTACTTTTTACCTAAGAAGCCCAACAGCAGTCCAAGATGATGCACATGATGCACTGTTAATATGTAAAATAAAGGAATTCATAGATCCTTAAATATCACAGTTTACTGTATTTCTGAACAACTGTCACAGATTTTCGTTTAAAGTATGAAAGTGATCCCATCCTAACGTTGAAGTATTTCCACAAGAAAGAGAAGACACACAAGAAAAAGCGGACAATTTCAGTGGTTGATACACCACAGGAAAAGTCATGGGAATTGCACAGGAAGCACTTTGTGTTTTGAGAGCTGAAATTTCCAATGTGCCTCCCATCAAGAAAGGCACACTAATGAAGTAGGGAAGAGTAGGGTACTCTAGCAACTCACCCAGACTAGAAGGCGCAACACACCTTAGCTCATTTAAAAGACACCAACAAGGTACAGAAAGCCAGTACACTGTACCACAAGTTATACTTCATTTACAATGTTCTGACATGAATTTCAGGTTTTATTACTAACAGTTCGCCACATTCAGAACATGCAAGTCAGGGGGGAAATGGAGAACTTCTCTTTTCATTTACAAGAAAATAAAAGTACATAAAGAAATATGAATAATCAAAATTCCCTTATACTTTAAAGACGTAAATGCCAGCATGCATCTATATTTAAAACAGATCTGGTCCAACGTATTATTATATACAATTGTCTGTTTTACTTACTCCGGTTTCTTAACCAGCAAAGTTTTGATGAAATCCACAGCAGACTCTGATATGAGGTCAAAGTCTTCTCCAGAGTAACTTACATTCATTTGAGATATATTTAAGAATGTTTCCTGTTTATCATCCCCTAAGAAAGGCGATATCCCTGTTAGCATAACATATGCCAGTACTCCAATGCTCCTAAATTGACAGTAAAAAACAAGAAGTTTATTTTTGTTGTTGTAGTTATGTATATAAACTTTTGAATAAAGTTATAATGATCGTTAATTTGCTCAACTTACCACATATCGGTTGCTGTACTGATTGGGTCATAACTCAGTATTTCAGGAGCTATTTGGGGGAAAAAGCATATTTTTTTTTTCATATGCAGACATGATATTGTAGCTATACAATGCAAAAATAGGCATGTGGTTAAATTTAATATAAGCCACTTGAATCATGATAGTCTTTGGAAATGGATGTTTCTACTCAAGTTATTACAACGATTACATTGTTCGTTAGTTTTAAGTTAAAAAAACTTTGCTTTTTATTGCTATATTCAGAAGCAAGGCCAGTCTTTTTACTAATAGAGGAAACTATAGAAACTTTATTGAAAAATAATTTCAATATCCAGCATTCCATATTCCATCATGAAAACTTGGACCCATAAAGAAAATACTACACAACTTATCAAAGATAATTTCAAGCAGATTTTCAAGGCCTGGAATAATTTATTTATTTTTAAATGGAAGTGATACAAACCTCACCAAGCTAAAATACTGTACTCAGCACGAGCGTATCCCTTTCAACCTCTACTCCAAGTAATGCTTGTTATCACTGCTCAGAATCCTCTAAGCAAGTACTCATGAACACAAGCACACAACTGGCAGTCATTAAACTGGCAATTAAGCTTTTACAGCAGTACCACATCCAAGCAATAACACAATCTTTTGACACCATAACTACACAGCCAGTCCGGCATTCACCAAATTTTGAGAAAATTTTCCTTAATTCCCCATTGCTGAAGTTCCCTCCTCAAGGCTACCTCAATGTTGTGGTAACAACTTACCTACGTATTCTGGAGTTCCCATAATTTCCCTTAGCTCTTCACTGCTCTTCATTATTCTGGAAAGGCCAAAATCTACTATCTTTATGTCTCCCAGAGGAGACTTACTGGTTAGGAGAATGTTTTGCGGCTGAAAAACAAAGCAAGAAGACCTTCAAAATCACCCAAATCTAATACCTATAACACCATAACATTGCATAATTATTTCAGATCATGAGCAACACCAATACATTCCATTACATGTACAGCAAACAGGATTTTTTTTAAAGTTATTATTATTTTTAACTGAGGGTGAGCTTGCAGAGACACATAGGCTCAAAGCAGTAGCAGGATTTCCTGTTTATAACCGCAAACCAAGCACCTACCTTTCTTAGCTTAGAGCTCACACAAGAGACATGCCAGTAAGCTACCATTTAACAATAGGACATAAAGATCTCCACATTTGGTCTGTTAGCCCCTTCAGACAGACCACCTTTCTCTCCCCACCCAGCTCCAACTTCTCTCCTTGCTTCCTTCCAACAGATGGTGTAAAATACTTCTCATAGGAGGGTGTCCAAAACCAACCAATCATTTAAAAAACCTGAACACACGAAACTATTTTGACTACACCTGTTTAAAGAAAGTCTGTTGCAATTGACCTCAATCTTGTTCAAAGTACAAACAATTGGATTACAGAATACTAACTGAAGAACAGTTAAAAAAAATAGGGCAGCCTGAAAAACAGGTTTTAAGAGCATCACCTTTGGATAAACTTGTTTGCTCTGACGTCACTAGATCTTGGCTGTCGTCCTTCAGAACAAACGTTGTGATCATTCAGAAGTTCCCTACCTTCTATCTTGAATGGTAGCTCAGTTTTTAAAAAAAAAAAAAAAAAACAAAACTGAAAATGAACCTGAGATGACAGGTGTTAGATTTTTGCAACTGAAGCATATCCTTGCCAAGAAAGTCCATGCCTCCCAGCCTGAGAACTTGCATCGCCATGTATTAGGGGTGGCTGAAAAGGGAGGAGAGCAAAAGAACCACCACTGCGGGGTCGTCCAAGCTGGATTACCACCACCATTTGTACTTCTATTCCCTCAGTCGCTCTCTCTTTATTCCCATGTTGATCACAAAGGCATGTTTTCACCCTGATACCCCTCCTCTTGAAAAGAGAAATAAAACTGTACAAGAACATTTTGAGATCTCGAGCCAGATCTTCCTGCTGCAAGACCTGAACATAGTCCAGTTCTTTAATTCCCACAAAGTTTAGCCACAGTATTTAAAATGAACTCCATGATGTTATCTATCTATTTGCTGTTTGTGAATGTAAGTATTTAAAGCAGCTTATTTTTTGCTTACAAATTGGGATCTGGTGGCCATACAAAGCCACCAGCTTTCGGAGCTGCACGTTACCATATGCTTTATAGTTCACATTTGTTATTTTGTATTTGTATTAGAAAAGCAAACATCCCCAAAAGCTGACCATGCCTCCCTAATTAACTTCTCAGATGTTCTTCCCAGTGGGAAATTTAGTTACTTTCTGAAGAGACAAAGAGAAAGCACAAGAAAAGCATTTATTCTCTGTATTTAAATGAGGAAAAGTTTAATGGCAACATTTCTTGAAAGCCTTAAGCCTTTTTTAATAATTAATAAGCCTTTTATAATATTTTAGTAGATAACATAGTTGACAGAAGTTTTTAATCAACTGTTTTTTACATGCTTACTGAGAGAGAACTGTCTCTAGTACAAATTGAGTCATAACCCTAGGAATAGCAGTCATTTTCTTATTCTAAGGAATTACTATGGGGTTAAAATAAAGTGACAGTCCAAACACCAGCATGAAACCTTGAAGAAGCTGTAGCTTTGGATTTACCCTTACTGTCAGCCTGACACAGTCACTCTAAAGCTTTAATAAAAGGAAGATGATTTTCCTGTATCTGTAGAGCTGATTTCCTTCTGGTTCTGCACGGCTGTAATTAATATATCTACGTTTGCTATGTGTTGATTTGTCTGCAAAGACCAGAGATGCCCAAGCCAGAGGCTCTCCTGCCAGCTATTTTGAAATGGGCCTTTCACTCTTGCCAACTAGCGTTAATGAAATGTCTGAAAAAAATGTAATACGCCAACATTTAAAAATCTTCCCTGCTGCAGAGACTGAAAGGTTCCAGTTTAGATCATTGTATGATGCATACTGAACAAAAACATATGAAAAGTCTGACTATACGGACCTCTGAATGGATGTACACAATGAGATTGGCACATGGACAGAGAGCACATGACATAGCCATGTGAGTCTAGCCCAATGTCACGTTAGCACTGAATTAGCTTTCCTGATGCTCTGAACTTCAGTACAAGGGCCAAAATAAGACAATATATACAAAGAGCTGTTCTCATCTAGCAACTTACCAATTATCTGTGCAACTTTCAGAAAAAGTGTACTTAGTAAAGGAGACACCCTGTAACCCTACACCTTGCAAGCAGGTTTTGAAATCTTGTAAACTGATGCTATAATGGCAAAATCCATACATTGCACATTTCTCAGTATTCCAGAGGTCTCTGTGAGCCTTTGGCCCTAATATTTCTTGTGACTTTAATTGGTTTCCAGAAGAGTATGACTAAGAATGCATAATAATACTCATCTTTTTAAACTAATCAATGTCTCACCTTTAATATTAATGAAGCTAGGCATCTGATTTTACAATACTGTAAAAAAAATAAATAAATAAAATCTGATCCCTAGACGACAAAACAGGAATTATCCAAGGAATAATAGGGTAGAAACAGGAAAAACAGTCTAGCTGGAATGCCCTGGCTAGGTTGTGTAAAAATACTAAAGCAATATGTTTGCACTAAGAAAAAGTTTAAGGACTCAAATATCTTTAAGTAGAACAGAATTTGCTTGGGGATCAGCTGGTTTTTTTTGGTCAACGTGTTAAAAACAAACAAACAAAAAAAAAAACAACAACAAAAACACAGCAACAGTGGCTAAAGAATAGAGTTATTAGAGTGGCACTGCACTTATTCCATAAGGTAATCAATACAAGTCCCATAAATTGAGAAGTAAGGCTATAATCAGGAGAGGTTCCATAGATCCTGGATACTCTATACCTGCCAAAAACCAAATAGCCGTGCCCTTATTGTTACAGAAATTTGAACTCCAAATTCAAGTGTTCTTTTGACTTATGAAGTTAGTATTTCTAACCCTTCTTAGTCTTGTGGGTGTTCCTTTAAATAAGAAATACTACACTTCTATTAATGCTATACTTACGTATAATAAATCTTCAATCTTAATCCATCTGGAAGACTCAGATGAGAAAGCTAATCTGTAATGTTTCTGTAACAGTCCCCTTCCTTCTTTAATAATTGCATTAGTTCACTTTCTGAATATTGGTGTAAAGTGACACCCAAACCAATTTCAAATAATGATTTTGCTAGTTGTCCTCACTGTACACTACATCTTGAGAACAACAGAAAGGGGACAAGGTGCGTGTTGAATAGCCCTAGTATTACAGACCAGAGGAGAGTGCTGCTTGGGGCAGTCATTCTCCCAGGGTCCAGGGCAGCGCAGAGCTCTACCCATCTCCATTGCAGACAGGCAGCAGCTAGTCCTTCCTCAACTACCCCAACTTTTTTATTATTATTATTATTTTAAGTTCTCTTCTATTCCTAAACTCCTTTAAACTTTACCAAACTCCAATCCAAGTTCAAGTCAAACAGCCGATGAAAAGAGGAAGCTTCTCTTATTCCACAGCTTTTATGTGCTATTAAGAGGAGATGAAAGACTCCCAACTACAATCTACACCCTGCAAATTAAACAGGATCAACACAATACTGAGAGTAAATTAAACATCACTCAACAGTAGCATTGTATTTGCTCTTTCTCCAAGTCAAAAGTGGATTACGTTATTGTATTTTGCTATTAAAAACACACCAGGTTTCAACAATCTTTCACAAGAAACACACTTTTGGAAAGATAATTGTGTGGCAACACCAAAAATACCCCACACCAAAATACCCCATATTTTTCCTGCCATAGTCAGCACTGCAGTGTACTTTCACTATTAAGTACTGCAGTAAAATAAAGAACAATGCATTTCAGATCAGATACCCAGCTGGTCGGGGCTGAAGGAACACCACAGCTTTAACTCCAGAAATCAATATATACAAAAGACGTGTTTTAATTTTACATAAAGTTTGCTTCAAGGAAATTCAATGGAAATATTTTTGGCTAGCATAGCATATATACAGGCAAAATAGAGACACTGAGTATCTTGTATAAGCATACTGGAGCTTTAGTCCTTTTGATCACTTATTACTAGATAGGAATTTTTCATTAAGTATTAGTACAGTTATTTGATGTGTGACTAAATCAATGGGCTACAGAAAGTTTTAAAGGATTCCAGAGGTGATTTAAATAAATGGTTAGAAAAATAGGCAGATGAGATGTTTGTGTGCAAATATTACTCATTCTTTACTTTAGCTAAGGCATGGTTCATGATTTGCTGTTGTATATAAGTATGTATAGCTTGATACTGGAATCTACTGGGAGCTTTGTACTACTGCCAAAAGGCAGCGAAGTATAAACAAGGAACTCAGCAACAGAAGAAACATGTAGTGCCTTACTGCATGCTTAGGAATTACAGGAGAATTAGGCCTGTAAGAAGAATTACAAAATTTTAATGCAAGTTGCTTTTAATACTATCTTGCTTAGAAAACTAATTCAACCTCAAAATGAGATAAAATTGCCAAATTGTCATGTTTGCCAAGTGTTTGGTAGTAAATGACAAACCTGTAAATTAAGTTATACAGCATTTTTTTCAGAAAACTACTGAAATGCTATAAACATATTTAACAAATTAGCATGCTGTTTATTAGTCCTCTATGAACACTTTATTCTGAAATGTTACATATTATATTACCAGTCTCTGCCATGCTTCTGCTTCATTAAAACTCAAGTCAACACAAAACACAGCCCTATTCTTAAAGGGCTAAATAATACTCAGACATTTTTATTGCACTGTCAGAATGAGTCAGGTCTTATCCAAAGCACACATTCCCAAATTAAGGTACAATGCAAATTCACATTTCACTCAAATTTTGTATTTGATATAATCATAAAAGCTCCCTAAAAGACTTGCAAACCTAGTGCCTAATACTAAGACCCAAAAGTTTATCATTTGAGGAATATCTAGGAATGTGTGTTAATTATGTTAGCATTAGTATGATACATGCCCAGCAAGGAAGCCAGCACTTAAAAAAAATAGGAAAAATACAGCAACACTCTTACCTTTAGGTCAAGATGAACTACATTGTTTCTGTGCAGGAATGAAACTCCTTCCAGGATCTGCTTCATAAGTCGCTTGACGTCTTTTTCTTTGAAGGCTTCTTCCCTTTCAGCAACACACTGGTCAAAGATTTCACCTCCAGCAGCGCTATGGAACAGCACGAATGTTACTATTTCAAAGACTAAGCTATAGTTCCTATTTCGCTCTACTTGCACTATTTTATTCAGCATAATAAAGATCAGCAGGTGGCATTATCCAGTAGGGGTATTTTCAGTTATTAAACGTTTGGCAAGCTCTAGCAACCTAGGAAGACTTGTGTGCAGTACGGCAGCTTTGAAGAGAAGCAGAGATCTCATTCATTTAGGTTAGACAACACAAATACTACAGAAACTCTTGGGCCTATTTTGGAAACATTAGTGACTGTGCTTTGAGATGAATGCTACATTTGTTTAAGGGCAGCATTTAACATAAAAGATGTGCCTTTTGCCATTTCTACTAAGCTACATGGAAATTTGGCCAAAGTAAGCCTTTGTAAACACAAAGTAAAATAGCCCCACCCTCAATCCTCCTCCAAAGACTTTGCACACACTCAAAAAAGACTAAATGTAAAGTTTATAGTTTGTGAAGTCTCTGGGGTGCAGGGATGCTTTAAGTTTCTGAGCGGCTTTCATCTAAAAATACTTCTGAAAATTTTAGCTCTCAGAGCTTGATTCCTTATCTTTTGTTTATGCATTCAAATAAAAAACAAGTCAAAGGAAAAATATGAAAACAACTACAGATGAATAATACCATGATTTTAAAGTAGTCCAAAGCCACATGCAGGACCATCTCTGTAAGGCAATGACTCCACAGATGCCTTACAACGTCACCCTGCAGCATCAGCAGTACAACAAGCACAGCAGATGCTCCATCCTCCAACCAGAATGGGTTTATGAACATCAGAACGGGGCCAACTGGTGTATGGATTGCTGGATTACTGCTTAGCAACATACAAATGAAGTTAACTCGCACACACTTTGTTTCACATGGGATTCTACAACCACCCCTTAGCGAAAGCTGGTGAATCCCCTGAGCACAGCCTTCTCCAGTCACCCCACACGGTGACGTGCCCAGCCTAGCTCTGCACAAGTGTGAATCTTGGCTGATGCACAACCATCTCATTTGCCTTCGCTTGCTCTTCTCTAAATTTTACTACCGAGGCCATCCAGAAGACAGAGAGGAACATTCAACACAGACCTAATGGCAAGCAAGGCAGTCCTACAAAATGCGAAATCTGGATTATTTTGAGTTTTCAATCAAGTGAGTGTTAATGCTCTGATTCCCCTACAAGCGCATATTCTGGACACCCTTCATCACTTATTTCTTCAGTACACTTTTATTTAGTTCAAGAAGAAAGGCAGTAATATTTTAGCTTTGGATGGGATTCAGGTAATTTATTCTAACATTCTAAATAAAATTCCTTTTTAAAAGTACTATCGCTTAGAACTTGGGCAGAACTGAGAAGATGGGCATAGAATATTGTCTACTGTAATTAATAAATTACACATTCTGTTTTAAGAACATCATACTATGCTACTTGGAAGACTGATTTAATTTCTTGTAGCATAAATTATAATGTATACAGTGATAAAATCTACAACTAAAATTACTATATATAATTTTTTATTACAGCAGCAACTCTTTACCATTGGAAAAAAAGCAAGGCAGTACTTCTGTTGCTTAAATTTACAAGTGAAGTTGGAATTATCCCTCCAAACAGCTGTTGTCAATCAGGAATTGTTTTTTTTAAAATAAACACAGCCGAAAATCAGCAAAGGGAGGGGGCCTTATAAGGCCCTATTTTCTGTATGTCTGCTTGGTGGTCATGATAAAACCAAGTTGTGCTCTGAACAAATAGGAACACTGACATAGCCAACATGCTAAGATGTAAGCTTTAATATGACACTTAAAGAATCCTGAATTACACTGCTTAGAAGTCAAGGCAATCAGAGTTGAAGCACAGAACGTCCCTTCATTGAAATCAAAAGACAGCACTAGCAGGACAGAAGAAAACCCTGGATTCAGGTTTTTATTTATTTCTAGAAGGTGTTTAAGTAACCTGTGGTACTTCTGAAGATGCTTCAGTTCATCACCAAATTTAAAAGTGAGACAAACAAATACAGCCCTTAGACATACACACCCACCGTAGACAAATATACTTAGCTTTACAAAGGACTTGCACATAGAAAAGTGTTTTCAAATGCAATGTTTTTTTTTTTTTTCTTCTTCTTCTTTAAATCAACTGCTCTATTTAGGATGTAGACAGAGCAACTCCTTCCAGGCAATTCACTCCATCCCAGAATTGCCACATTCAAATAAATAATTAGTGACCCTTCAGAAGAGCACAGAGAAATTTGTTACTGCAAGACTGTTTTGCGTATTGCTGCTGTGGAGTGCGCCGAGCTGACTCCCTGAAGCAAAGCAGTCAGCTGACTGTGAGCCAGCTCAGTCACAAGTGGTTGGAAGTACAACGTCAAACCAAACTCCGAGAAGATCCTTCCTGCACATCCATGCCAAATTTTGCCAAGCTACTTAAAAATATTTTCAACTCTGATGTTTTATATTCCCCAACTACACTTCAGGGAAAAACAAAACAAAACAAAAAACACACAGAAGGGATTAAAATACCTGTTAGGAAAGTATTCTGGGCATGTCAGTGCTATGATTTCAGTATCCATGCAGACCAAGAGTTCTCTTGTGTTTAGAATTTATCCATTTTTCCTTCAAGAGCCAATCTTCAATTAAGTTGACACTTTTCTAAAAATTGCTGTGAAATAACTTGCTTTGTTGGGTAACCCCACCCACCTCTACAGAAAAATTTCACAGGAGATAAAAGCAAGGCATTGCCTTTAGGACAACAACATCTTTAGAACAAGTCACCTTAATGTGAAACAAATGGAAAAGGCCATATTTAGGGGCATAGCTTTCAGAAATTCAGTGTTGTCTAGAATGCGTTATTTTTCTAATACACAGAGGTGTGAGATGCATGAATTCTTTCCAACCTAGAAGTTGCAGCAACCCGTATTCCTTAGGAATTACCATATTTATGACCGTACTGCTGTACTACTGGCTTCTCCATAGATTCAAGTGAAATCCAAGTGCTGTTCATCAGTGAAAGCATGCTGACACTTTGTTACTGCTTATCAGTATAAACAAGCTCAAAATCAGTTGAAAGTCTGGAGCATTAATCATGGTTACAATCACGTTGACTTTAAATTTGGTGGAGACTGCTTATCTTCCTCTGTATATCTTAATGCACTGCACAAAATTCAACATCCTACTTTTTTTCAAGTGCACTTACGATACATTAAGAGTTAGAGCATATCATTGGAGAAAAGGCTGAACAAAGCCATTTCAGGGCATCAAAAAAATTCAAATCCCCCTAACTATAATGGGTCAGGAACTGGGACAGTCTTCCATAAGCCTCAGCAGCACAAATCCTTGGAACACAGATTCAGATAACAAGTCTTTTGAATACTCTTGATGTCAAATCCGAGTGAGACCATAAGCAGCCTGCAAGGATCAAAAATTCACTTATGCTCTGTCAAAAGCCTCTCTTGAAAGTGTTACCCTTGAACAGAACTGGAAACTCATTTGTTTCTGTACACACAGCTTATATTGCAGGGACATCCCACCAAGGTGGCTGTCACAAGACTACATATTCGTGCTCTCTGCTAGCGACATTCACAGCCTCCTTTCCTCAGCAAGGCATACACCACTAGGCAGCAAGCATGCAAGCCAATTCACTGCGAATTTTTCAAGTGTAAGGCTACCACTGCACGCCAATGAGCCCAGAGACAGAGGGACCTAAGTCTCCATCTGATGAGAGAACACACGGGCAGGAAGCATTCGTAGGCATTAAGTTGCAGAGGCTTTGCTTTTAAGCTCCTGGTTGCCAGCCAACTGCAACCTCATGTCCCCCTGCCACAACCTTTCTGACTGGGGACCCTAAGGGCTGAGATGCAGGGCGTGAGGTAACCAACTCAGTTGGAGGAGCTTTCCCCTAAAACTTTACAGGGGCTCCCACCTCGGTCTGATTGCCACCTCTCATACCTGTGTTAAGCACTCTAACAGACGGTGTGCAGACACCGGAGCAGTGCAATTATCCCAACAGCACAGGAAGGAACGTTCTCCAGGTCCAAATAGCGAGAGGTGGAAAAAGTACTTCATGCAGCGTATCAAATAAACCCCAACCATCTCCTCAAGACAGCAAAGACAACTTTTTTTCTTTCTTAAACCTTGCGTAACAGAAGTCTATATATACACACCCAAGACCCTGGGAGGTAACTATTCAATTCATGGGCTCCTTACTACACATAATGGCCTAGATTTTGAAGTTACACAAAGATGTTTCTCCAAAATCTGACCCACTGCTTGCGATATCCTCTACTCCTTCCACAAACGTATAAACAAAGTGATGACCACTTCAAGACGCCAGTTCTGAAGCACCAGATGCACTGTTGCTCTTTCTTTCAAAAGAAATTGGGAACAGTCAGGCAGGTCGTGTATAAATGTTGAGCCCAGTAGCTACACTAAAAGGAAGTAAGCAATTTTGAAATCTGAATGTGTCAGGTTTTCCCCAGACACTAAGTGTTTTTCAGTAAACATTTTTATTCGTTCAGTTTTCACTGAAATACAGAAACAAGACTGTTAATTCCAGAGTAATTCTAGACTTTCCATACTGTCCCTTAAGATGAGCTCTTAAACCCTCTGCTGCTTGTTGGCAAAAAGCCTCAGCAAGTCAGTGTTGTTAGTGTGGATGCAGATACAGCCTTACCAACCTGTTGCTGTTAAAGCCAACACTAATGCCTCGCTGCATGCCATTGCTCAGAGCTTGTATGAACACTTAGCAGCCAATTTTAAGTTTGCTTTCTGTCAAAACTGATAGTGCTTTAAAGACAACCCTCATATGATTTTAATATTTCTTCTCATGAAGTCAGGGCAGTAGCACCCCACCCCCCTTACGACAGATCCTACATCAAGAGAAGAACTTCAAAACCTTAGCAGATAAAGTTAATGGGCAATGATTAAGTATTTATTTTTCTGCTTTCCATGATAAAGATCTGCCACGCAGACCATCAAGCTTAATAGAAACTGAAATGCCCTAGAGAAGCTTACAGTCCAGATATGCTCTTTAATCCTCTGCATACAGAATGTCAGAAATTTACTAACATTCATACCTGTTTTGTTGCAACATGCCTCTGGAACATGCTGACATTAAAGAAGCATCCAGACATATTTGCTGAAGTCAGTGAAAGAGCGTTTTTGTAATTTACAGCTCCAACACACAGCTATTTATCTGTAACGAGGTGTGACTGATGCATATAAAAACAATAATGTTGCTAATTATGGAACAACCTGGTTACTAGTTAATACTTTGGATTAAAAATGTTTTGTAATTTTAACAGAACTGAGTTCTAAAGGAAAAGTAGCAATCTGCGTTAGGATTAGTGCAAAAAACATTGCTCATCCCAAGCTGTGAATTCTATATACCTACACAATCCAGAAATTTACACTGCTTTCTCATTAGATCTGTGTTACTAGTGTCTAGAACATGTATTTTTTCATCTCCAGTAACTGCAGAGGCTCTGTCACACTTTTGCATTATAACAAATACTTGAACAACTCATAAATCCCTAATACCATAACTGCACAATGAAGCTGGAAAAAATGTATTCTAGAAGGAAGCTTGCCTTAGCAGACAGTCTCATTCCATGTCGCTGAAGTGCAAAGATAAAGTTTCTTTTGACTTCTGAACACCATCAGATTTGGGCACAAGATTTTTCACCATTCATTTCTGTCATCAAGGAAGGAAACAGCTGTACAAACTAGATTGACTTCAGCAGTCACCAGTCAAGTCACTTCTGAACCATCAAGCCTCACTGTTCCTCTGCTAGTTATTTTAGAGCCATAGAGCTTTCACAGGATCTTAACTGAGTTCAACACCAACAAGCATTTGGCTACCTCTCAGAACCTAGATGACAAAAAACAAAGTCTCTGGGTAGCAGATAAACTTTCACAGCTGTAAAAAAAGACAAAAATCTCTTCTGGACAAACTCAAAGCAGGGGAAACAAAAGGCAAGTGTAGAGTCACACGTTAAATGCCACTGATCTGGGTGAATGTGAAATATGAAACTATTCTAGGTCTGAATCCTCGTACTCTCTTGCAAGTCTGATTTTCTCCAAGACGACACTGGAGCACTATGTTTGAGATATGTCTTGACTGTCTGCTCAACAGGTCTTTAACCTCTTGATAAGTGCTCTTGTCTTTTGCCAGTGCATGGAAGACAAGTTTTTGTCTGTATCACATTAAGAAGATGCAGCTAGCCAGACAGCATGACTGAATAAACTAGTCTGCAAGCACTGAGTAGGGGAGAGCTTGTGGTCCTAAACTTACATGCTTCCTGAAAGATCTGGTGTTTGGAAAACTTAATAGTTTAACCAGAGAGAGCAGCCAAAAGAAGGAAAGTTTCAACACTAAATTCCCTAGTGTTAACTGTGATAGGATACCTATAAGTAAACTGCTCCAAATGCTAGCTCTGAATTAATGCATGAGGTTCATGAAGAGATGTATCAAGCTGAGAAAAATGAGTACAAATCCTGGTATTTGTCAGTTGTCGTCAAACGATTCCCCATCCCAAATTAACTTCAAAGTTCAAAAACAAAAGAAACAGATTTCACTTCATCTTTGTCACTGCCAGCAACAAACTTCAGTACTTTCAGATACTCATTGCTTCTTTCACAAGTAGAGACTCTGAACAGTTCATATTTTGCTTTTTTTTTTAAACTATAGAAATTATGTTTCACCTTTGAAATACCCTGCATAATTGGAGAAATGTATTATAAATGTGCTATAGTTAAAAGACTGCACATAACTTCCTGTAGTACTGATTTTCTCCATAATTATTTTTTAATTCAAGCAGATAGCAGGCAAACAATAAAATTGTTTTGCATATTATTCATAGACACACAAGATTTTTACATTATTAGCTTTAAGCAAATACTGCAGAAGGTTATTCAGGAATTATCATTAGTACTTACTATTCCAGGACTAAAATCATCTCTGTTGCAGTTTCATAAACTTCATGCAAGTTAATGACCCACGGGTTGCATTGCGCCAGCTCAAGGACTGCAATTTCATGGATTATTTCCATCCGACAGTCTTGACCCTTTCTTCTTTTTCTCATGAATTTCGCCGCAAACTCTTTTTCGGTGTCTTTCTGGATACATTTCTTCACCACTGCAAACTTCCCTCTAAAATTAAAGGAGAATTTTAAGTTAGAAATAAGTCCTTCGGTGAAAACTTTAGTACAATCCTGTTGCTGCTTAACCCTACCAGGCAGCAAAGTGCCACGTCCCAAGTGGGATGGGGATGGGGGAAGAATTGGAAAGGTAAAAGTGTGAGAACTCCTGGGCTGAGACAAAGAAGTTTAGTAGGTAAAACAAAAGCCACGCACAAGCAAAACAAAACCAGGAATTCATTTGCTCCTTCCCATGGGCAGCCAGGCGTTCAGCCACCTCCCAGAAGGCTGGGCTCATCACATGTAACGAGCAGTTTATTGGGAAGACGAGCACCATCACTCCTAGTGTCCCTCCCTTCCTCCTCCTTTACCCCAGTTTATTACAGAGCACGATGCTGTGTAGTGTGGGACACCCCTTTGGCCAGTTTGGGTCAGCTGTCCTGGGTCTGTCCCCTCCCAGCTCCTGTGCACCCCCAGCCTGCCCGCTGGCAGGGCAGCACGAGAAGCAGAAAAGTCCTTGGCTCTTTGTAAGCACTTCTCAGCAACAGCTAAAAATACCGGTGTTATCACCACTATTTTCATCAAAAAACCCAAACACAGTACAGTGCGAGATTCTAAAAATAAGGATTTGAAAGTAAACAAAATACTGAAACCCTCAGTTAAGAAACCCGACTTTCAAACAGATAGAAAAAGTGAGCTGTGCTAGTTAACAAGGTGAAGATACCACAGAATACCTTGAGCTTGAAGGGCCCCACAAGGATTGAGCCCATCTCCTCAATCTTTTAGTAAAAAGGTGCATGAGCAAGCACTTTGTGTTTTCTGTGACTATACTCGAGCAAACTAATTGCCCAGTTATTGTTTTCCCCACTACATCCAAAGAGCAGCAGCCAACAGCTTTATTCAGTGACTGCTCAAGATCCTTCCCTATTTACTAGGGACATTTAAAAAAACGTCACTTTGCATTTCCACCATGTCATGTCTCCAATGACAACAGCTGTAGTTCTGATTGCTTAACAGTTCTCAATCCTTTATCCTCGGTCTCCTTGTTTAAGGAACAGGAAGAGTTTTGAGAAGCACAGAGGCTTGGCCAACATAAGGCACTCCAACAGCAACATGTGAACACAACACACTGCGCAGAACTGCTTAACCCACATCAGCAGGGCATTGTTTCTGACAAAACGCCCAGCAGATGAGCTGCACCACGCCAGCAGCCCAGCTAAAACCACACAGGCAGTGCTTACATCAGAAGCCTTCCCCCACAGCATTTTCGACTGAGGTTCCTGCCCTGAACTTCCTTGCAGCAGAGCCCAAAGCCACCTGCTCCACTCAGTCCCGTTTGCACCGTCCTGGTTTAGAGTGAAAAGGTCTGTTAATTAATGCATCGTCTAATGCCATGACAAATCCCCACACTCAGTATAGTGATCTTGCCTGTATGGGAAGAATTTACAAGAAAACTATCTTTATTTGTATGTAAGCATGCTTATAAAGCTGCAGGAATAGCTTGCAGGGTCTTATTCTGCTTCCTTATTACCTTATTGTAGGGTAGCTGAAACCAAAATTGGAGTCCTCATCTGGCCTGGAATACAATTACACGGGTTTTGCCTCTCCTGCGTCCCAGCTGAAGCGTACAGAGTTAACTAACTCCGCTCGTGTCAGACTTCTCACTCTCACAGCTCCTAACCTACTGGCAGCCTGCTTTCCACGAAAAGTGACTGCTGAAAGGAGTTGTGGTCAGCCCGCTTATAATAGAAATTTGTTTCAAAATTGCCCAGTCTAAATTAAGTCAAACAAGCACCCGCAAAGTGGATATTTGCTAGGCAATCTCACTAAAATAATCTAACTTGCGACTACCGAGGCAGCCACAGTTATTCCTCTGGGAATACTATTTTGCATAAGCACACATTATCTGCAGCACCGTAATATTAGGATAGATCAGAGCACAGCAGATGTGAAGGCTGACAAACAGTAAGAAAATGCTCTACGTAAGCTTTGCAAATGCGTGAAAATATTACGGGGTTCTGTAGTCGTAGGGAAGGTGTGGTCAAAGGATTGCTCTAAAATGGTTTAAATAATATAGACAGTGTGTGCGTGGGAGGAACAGGCACCCAAAGCCTCTGGAAAAGAGGCTAACAAACAGCTACGTGCCTGCTAGAGATGTATCAAAAAGCACGCTGGCAGAAATAACAAATGCGGACAGCATGGGCAGCTTATCAGGAAGCAGAGAAGTGTTCCAAAGATTATACGCTCCTGATCCCCAAAATATTGGGAGGCCAGTGCTTCTTTCAAGTGGAGTTCTAGGAAGCTTGTGATTAGTGTCGTGGCTACAAGCATAAACATCCCTCCAGTATTGCAATCCTAACCACAATTGAGAGCAACCTTCCCCATGTAGCCAGGGAAAAGGCTTTTAAGTTAGTCCAAAGACGTGCATCTGTATGACTCGTGTGCAGCAGAGTTATGTGCTCACCAAAGGTGCTAAAAGCCCTGCTGAGGCTGCGTTTTGGCATGAAACCCAAACACTGTACAGGGGGAAGAGCAGCAGCTATGCCTCCTTGCCACTGAGCCAAAAGCTTTTAATTCAAGCATCAGAAACAGGAGCTTCATAAATTTTAAACCTCTCTGATAGAGCCTTCAAGCAGCTCGGTGTTGTTGAGACCAACATACGGAATCTGGAAGCAAGTGCCTCAATCCTAACGAGCCCGATGTCGCCGATCCCTGTGGAAATGGGACAGCGTTCCCAGCGCACGAGGCACCGCTGCATGTGCCACGCGTGTGCTGCTGGGCTGGGCTGGACAGAAGCCTGCGAGGTGACGGGATTAAAAGGATGGGTTACGCAGGGGGCCAGCCGACAAGTGCTAATTCTCAGTTGTTCGGGACTAAGAATCATGCCCGGCCCCTCGGTGGCTATACCTGTAATTAGAGCCACTGCAGCTGCCGCCTGCAGAACTCACCTTTTCTGAATCCCATCCCAGAAGAGAGCAAACTTGACAAACCTGATATTTATAACCAAGAGCGCTAATGCTATGCAGCCTGCTAGATTCACAGCTGAGTCTGTTTCTGAGCAAAGATTCAAAGGCACTGTCCAGTGGACAGTATTAGACCACAGCAATTTAGCTGCATTGAGAGCTAACAAGGAGAACATAGCGTTGAAAGCAGCACAGTTTTGAGAGGAAATGCTTAATGTTCATCTCCAAAGTTAAAAACTGGCTATCAGTTATCGAAACACAACCAAAAATACTGTTAAGGGAGACATGAGTAGGAAACTAGAAGTAGCTCTCAGCTTTCACAAGAGCCTCCATGAGAAATTGTGATTTAAGGTATCACATCCGAGTACAAAGCAGCTCAATGTCACCTTCCCTGATTGCCAGCAGAATTAGCATCATTTCGCCTGGCATACAACAGGGCTTAGACGAAAAGCCTCAAATCACAAATCAAATGTCAAATCAGATAAACAGGCACATTTATGTCATACCAATTCACTTTGTCACAGGTTCAGGAGAACAGAGAACTAACCTGACTGCAATGCTTATTTTTAAGACGACCTATTAAACACTGTCACTGTTACTAATAAAAGGAGTAACAGCAATTCCTATTAACCTGTTTATTTCACAGATAGCTCAGAAAAAAATTCCGAGATCCATAAAACTATATGCAATTTCTTACAAATTTCATAGCAAACTTTTTCCCCCAGAACTGTGATTTTCTTTCTAAATTTTTGGAAACCAAAGAGCAAGGGGTGGGGAGATGCCATTTCCGATGCTCACGAGCAACCAGCTCACGCCGATTTCTTCCCAAATGGCGGAACCAACTACCTGCACAGCCTTTGCTTTCACCTCCTTTTCCCTGTCCCGGCATTCCACAAGTGTTTCCCCCTAGCTGTGCAACTGCAAGCGGCCGCTGAGAAGCGCGATAGCATGCGTGCACGTTCTTACTGATGCACAGAACTGTTCCTGAAGGCTACCTCAGAAATGTGCAAGTTCAGAAAAAAATTTTTTAGAAAAAAAAAAATAAATCAGTACATAGGTTATCTGCACATGAAACCACAGTTAAAAAAAAAAAAAAGTGTTTCTTGATTATTCTGTTCAGTCTCCCCAGATGATTAGAATAGTTATTATTCTTAGCTCTGAGTGGAGAATGAGCTTGTCTGTTTTAACAAAAATCTAAGAATGAGGAAAATCAGCTGAATTGCACTTGATGTACGTTTACAGGGATGCACTGCATCCATTTTGCTGGCAGAATATTGCTGGTTTTAGAGCTATCATTTAAGAAGACTCTTGTGGAAAGCAAGGCTTTATGCCTTTTTCCTACCCAGCTCTAGAACCAGGAGTATTTTCTGAACGCAAATTATAGCTACCAGTACGTGCATAGCTTGTTTTAAATTAAAAGAGGAAAAAAAGAGCACAATACTCCAACAGTGAGCTAAAGTATTAATTGTCTAGTAGCATTTTGTGTGCAATTAGGAGATATTTTGTTGATGAAAAGGAGAGAAGTATCTGAATACAATTACACTGGACATTTTAAAGAAGCTCTAGGTAATATAAACCAGCGATGAAAAATTTTGTTTGACGCTGTGTTTCTGGAATATGGAGCTTAGACATTCAGACACTCATGCACAGACTTGCAAATATCCTTCAAATCTGTCACCACACACACACACACACAAATATTGCTCCTAATTCTACAGTAAAATTACGGCTTGAGTGTAGATAAGGCGAAAAGTCAGGCAAATTTTTTCCCTGTTGTCAGCAAAGTATACAATACTTCAAATAAACTTATATCAATCTAGCACCAGCTGAAATCATTTAAGAGTCTGAGCTGACTAGAAGTGGCACCCTTAATCAAAAAAAGTTTGATTTCAAACATCACACAACTTGACATGAAGATTTACCTGGGCACATTCTGATTCAGGGACAACAAAATTAATTAGGCTCTCAAGACCAGCCCCAAAATTAGTTTATTAAAACATTTCATTAAAAAATTCCACTTCTATGTCAGCTTAAACATCTCAAACTAATTTTCCTTCCAGAGTTGCCACTATAACCACAATTTCAGCATTCTTCCTAAATCAACCTGTTTATTCTAGCAGCGGTATTTGGGCTTACTTACAAATGCCTGCTCAGCTACTGCACCAGGCAGCGGCCTTCTGAAGCACATAACCCTTACATACTGAAAGCAATTTTTTTTTTTCTGCAAACAGAAGCAATGAAGCCTGATTTCCTGCAGTTTTGCACCAGAGTCACCCTTGCGACATCATGACCAGGCTCTTCCCACACCAACACCTCCACAGTCCCCTCCACCATGCCACCAGGGGCCAGCAGCCCCCACACCTCCCTTCCCTCCCCACTTTTTTAGAAGGGCAATGAACAGGGGATGAGGGCAGCAGGTGCCAAGGCTGCTGCCAGCACACACATGCTGGAGGCCAAGGAGCACAGACCTGCTGAGTTTGTGCAGCAGCCTTGGGCTCAGCAGCGGTGCTACATCTGCCTTCTCCTCTCCCCCTACTACCTGCTTTCAACACAATTTGTGCCAACTGTGCTATTCTTATTCTCAGTGCCCTGTCTGAAGCTCAGCTCTCACATTGCTTCCCTGGTTCTGGGAAAACGGTGGGCAGACACGCAGCACACAGACTGCTTTTCCTTACCCATTTCCTTAGCAAACGGAGCTACCGCAGCAGGATCAAAACGCGCTGCGTGCACAAGGGCTGCCTTTTGGCTGAGACAAAACCTGTCACCTCAGGTTGCTAACTGGTCCAAGCCCTCCGTAAAGATAACCCTGCTCAGAAGTACAGACTTCCATGCTTTAGGAACAGAAAAAGCGATTTCTGCTCAGCACGCATTATCGATAAAACACCCTACACGGAGACAGCTGCGAGGGTCAGCCAGGCTTTCCACCCACCACCTTTAGGTTGCCTAGGCAGCAAGAACTTCTCTTTAGTGGACGCACTAGGGGTGAAGCATCCACTTTTTGAAGTAAAAATGTAGTAAAGAACCATCTGAAATTGAACTAGGAGACCAAGCGTGCACACTCACAGCCCCTTAGGACGGAGCTGCAGGTGTACCGCACGTCTCTGCCCCGCACCGACCCCGCGGCGGTCTCAGCTCGGTTTTGCCGTGCCTCCCCATTTTCGCCTCCCACCCCCGTCCCGCACACACCTGCCCAGCTCTCGGCCGGGGCTGAGGCGGTACCGCAGGTGGAAGGGCTCGCTGCGGATGGCCGTGCGGATCTCCGACAGCAGCCCGCCCCGGCGGGGCTGCTGCTGCTGCTGCTGCTGCGGGCGGGCACCGCGGCAGCGCCCAGCCTGAGGCGGCGGCGGCGGCGGCCCCCCCGGCTTCTCCTCGGGGCTCATGGCTTCTCCCCGCCGCTTCGGCTCCGGCTCCGCTCGGCTCCTGCTCCGCGTCCCGCCCGCCCAAGGGAGCCGAGGGGAGGCGGCCACGGCCGCGGCACCGCCCTCTCAACGCCTCACCTTGGCGGGCGGGGGCTGCCGAGCCGCGGCGGTTGGGCAGCGCCGCCTGGCGGGGCCGCCATTAACGGGGGGGCGGCTGCCTCCTCCCGCTGCTGCGAAACCCCCCTCGGAGGGGCGAGATGTAACTGCTAATAAAGCTGAGAAATGCTAATAAAGATGTGTGTGCGAGTTCTGGGCTGTGTGTGCGAGTTAATGGGTTCCTGCTCACGCCTGCCCTGAGGGAAGAAGCGTAGGGAGCAGGGCGAAGCCTGAGGGGAAAATGGCAGAGATGGACACAAAGGGCATGGCCCTGGGGGAAGGGAGCCTCAGAGTGTAGGTGGGGACACCGGTGGGCTGGAGGGAGGTGCAAACAAGACAGTGGTAGCTCCAAGTGTTTCTCCTCAGAAAGAGCAGTCAGGCACTGGGACGGGTTGCCCAGGGAGGTGGTGGAGTCACCGTCCCTGGGGGTGTTCAAGGAAAGGTTGGACGTGGTGCTTGGGGACATGGTTTAGTGGGTGACACTGGTGGTAGGATGATAGTTGGACCAGATGATCTTGGATGGCTTTTCCAACCTTTGTGACTCTGTGGTTCTACATATCCCTGAGCACACCCCGAGGAACCTCGTTGCAGCCTGCGCTTGTCCTCAGCGGTGTGCAAAGCTGCAGAGAAGCCTCTCCGACAGCTGGGGTGCACCCAGCTGCTCCCCTCCGGCTGTGCCTGAGCTCGAAATGCCTGCCTGACGGGGGTGGGACTGCCCCCAGATATTTGTCCGGCTGGGTTTCAGTTGCCTTGTGGGGTTACAGGACTCCTGTAGGAAGGTCAGGCCTGGTTTCACAGCATCCCACAATGGTTGAGGTAGGAAAGTCCCTATCTCTGAAGATAATTTGGTCCAACCCCCTCTGCTCAAGCAGGGTCACCCAGAGCACGTTACACAAGATCGCATCCAGGCAGGTTTTGGAGAAAAAAGGAGTCTTCCCAAGAAGAAGACTCCGAAGCCTCTCTAGGCAGAAAATTTCTACATTAGCTGATTAAAGACTGTAGGATTTAAAACTTCACAGCATAAATCCATCCTGAAGTTTTGCCCTGATTATAGTTATTTATAGTTGTATTTATAGTCCACAGTTACAAACTTATTTTGTACGCTTGACAAGTTTTTATTTCTGGCTACTGCACAGAATATTATAAAATAATAGAGAAGATAATAAATAAAAAAAAAAAGACTATAGGATCTGTGGTGTGAGAATATGCATGCCTCTTAGCGCATCGTGATCTGGCAGGGCAGATGTATTTTCCGGTCTCTTTTAACTGAGGATGGGGTTTGGTCCTGTGGCTGTTCCACTAATGAGCGTAACTGGATGCGGCTTGAGGAATGGCCATCCTCAACTCATGTCACCAGCCCTTCACTGTATGGCTTACTTCAAGTACGTGTTTAAGAGAACTGTTCTGTGTGGCAGTTGTTTATAGAGAGAAGTCTTGCTGAATTTGTCTCTATTAAGGGCACAGAATCTCTTTGCCACCACCTGCCAATATCCAGAGCATGAAGGAGAAGAGACTAATGAGGAAATAGGCCGACATACAGGAAAGGATTCAGGCCAAACCACAGTCATCGATCGGTGATGATTCAGATGGGAGTACAACTGCTGACAAGGCACTTCTCTGAAATTCCCTAATTCACTTAATGCCAAATCAGATTTGCAGAATTAAATAGGTTAGGAATAAATTCCAGAAGCTGTATGTAGAACAGTGGAGAGTTCAAGACTTACCGTACTGATGTGCTTTCCACTCAGAGTGTAGTTAAGGTAGTAGCAGAGCCAGACTCTTACCACTGAACAATAAAACTCAGATTAAACAGTGGTCAAGAAATTGTTACATCTGAAGATAAATATCAGAAGCATTTACTATGGAAAAATATGTTGTTTCCTGAAAAAAGGTTCTTATCTTAAAAGTATGTTGATACTAAAGGAAGGTTTCAGATACTTAATTCTTAAGATCTTTTCTACTTCTTTACTTACTTTCACAGTCACATTTTCCTAAGGAAAGGAAAGGAAAAGAAAGGAAAAGAAAGGGCAAGAAAGGAAAGAAAGGAAAAGAAAGAGAAGAAAGGAAAAGAAAGCGAAAAGAAAAGAAAAGAAAGAAAAGAAAAGAAAAGAAACGAAAAGAAAAGAACAGAAAAGGAAAAGAAAAGAAAACGAAAAGAAAAGAAAAGAAAAAGAAAGGAAAAGAAAGGAAAAGAAAGGAAAAGAAAGGAAAGAAGGAAAAGAAAGGAAAGACCAAAGAAAAGAAAAGAAAAGAAAAGAAAAGAAAAGAAAAGAAAAGAAAAGAAAAGAAAAGAAAAGAAAAGAAAAGAAAAGAAAAGAAAAAGAAGAAGCTGCAAAGGAAATTTATGGAAAGGAGTGCAATTACAGATGCAGGAACATGAACAGGCCATCCTCAAAATATTTTAGGATATTTAAGGTTCTCCAGACAAATTTTGAAATAAATCATGTGTTTTAGATGCCTAAATGCCTTTAAGATTCTACCAATTGGTTCTTTATGCAACATATATGCTTATATTTTTTCCACATATGGTTATTTTACTCAGATAAATTTCAGATATATTTGTATGTAAATTATGAAGGATTTTGAATATATTGTTTCTTCTTATCTGGAAGAACGTTAATTCCATACAGTATGTAAATGTATCTATTTTTCTTCCATAGGATAGAAAATACCAATGGCATCAGAAGTTCAGTGTCTTAATGTAACAGAAAGATGGATCTGTTGCACTCTTAAACAGAATTACCTAGAGAATGCAAAGACAGTGGCAGAATGAAAAATTACATTTTACTATCTTGAAAGCTGACCAAAATAATGTTTTCTCCCACTTTACTATGCACAAGCCCTAGAAGAGACTTTGATTTGCTCAGCCGTAGCAGAATATTATGGAGCTGATATATGGAATCATAATTTTTATTGTAGAAAGACTGAACATAACCTTCAGGACTCATGGTAGTTTAACCTGTGTATTAAAACAGCACTCATCTTAGTCTTAAATACTGCAGCATAAGCTTATGTCTGCTATCCATACAGGGAGAAACGTATGTGTGTATGAACAATGCTTGATTTATTCACAGATAAGCAAACAGTCATATTTAGGTTGGCTACTCTCATATGTTACTTACCGAAAAAATATATGTGGTCCTTTTTTTTGTTTGGATATTTGTCTGCAATCACTGAAATATTAGGTGTTGTATGCTCAAGTGCACTTAGACGGCATAACACTGATTTCTGTGTGTACAGGTAACATTAACTGTTTACTGTTTCAATATATCTTTTATTTTCTGCCAGTAGCAGCCAAGGCATTCATTCTCATGAGCTATGTTTGACCTAGAAGCTAAGAAGCAAGAGGTAAGGTGAAAGACACTACCACTAGTACTCTGTTTAAAAGCATGCCCTTTTCAATTTATGTTGGCATGCACTTGAGTGAAAGAGTGATTTCAACTCCACTCTGAAGACACGTTGTATAGGTACATAAGATACGCTCAGTTATAACATCTAACTCCAGCTTGATCTTCACAGGACTGTTTCCTACACAATGAATGCATTCAGGCAACTTGTACGTGATCACCCTAAATGATGATCGTCATCATGGTACCTTTACAACAGAAACATGGAATCTACACATCCATAACTCAGCACACAGAGCTTAAGATATTTTTTTCAGGTGCTATATTCATCCTTTCAACTCATGTAGTCACAGAAAAACACAATCTTCTGTAGCCGGCATTTCTGCAGGCTGCCTAAGATTTGTATGAAGCCATGTATTTTGCATGCCCCTTATTTCTTGATGTGATTGTTTTGCTTGTGAGGCAGCCAGAAGAGTATGTATTTATCATCTCAGTTGCTTCACTCTTGTACTACTCAAATTCTTTCCGTCATCATGTAAAGGCACTTAAACAAGAGCTCTGAGTACCCGGCACCACTGAAAACCAGTCCTGTGCTAGACTTCTGCACAGACTGGAGTTTCTTACAAACTACAACAACAACAAAGTTTTACTGATTTTCGCTTTTCCAGTTTAAGGACAGAAAGCACAGCTCCACTAAGTGGCAGCACTATGCATTATTATTGCCAGCTTCGTAGAATTATTTTTACATTTGTGAAAGATTTAATATAAACTGAGGCTCATGCGGCAATAAGAAGTCTCATTTTTGCTCCTAGTATTTGATTTCATCATTTTCCAGGAGAGATGAATAGCCTTGCACTAGGAAGATCTTAGAATAACCTTTCCAAATACTTTCACAGGTTCATATTTTGCAGAAATTTCCATTTGAATATGAGCTTTATATAAGTTATAATAACGTTCATTTACCAGTTGGAAAACGCATCATACTGGTCCCTCAACATATTGGGTGCTCCTCAGCTCACTTTCACTGCTTCTCTGCAGTGCCAAGTCAGTCCCGGAGACTAATTCATCTTTCACAAATAAGGTAGGCTTCATATTTTACAAAATCCAGGATGCAACACTGCTTATTTTATATCTGTGCCCAGAGCATAAAGATAAACTCTCTCAGTTTGTACATTAGAAGAGCTAAAATATGTATTTGAAACACAGTTATGATGTTTGAAAGCCGTGCTGTGTGCTCTGTGTACCGTGGTACTAGGGGTGAAATTCTAAGGTCCCAGTTCTGTTAATCAATGCTTGAATCATTAAAGCTGTTAACTTACAGGCCAAAAGCAGGGAACTTTATATTCAATTGCCAATTATGCCAAAGCTGTCAGTAAATGCATTATCCTTGCAAACTGAGAGTATAATTTTACACAGTAATCTGTATTACTAATTCCAGTAATTCCTAAAAACTCACTTGCAGATTTAATACTGAGAAATACCTTGGAGGTACCAGAGTCAGATCACAGCTCCTAACGAAGATCCTAAGCAGATTCCAGTGCTGCCCTAGCCACATTCCTGAAAATCTGTTATCTAAATATGATGGCTCCATG